TCTTTTGAATGGTTTACAGTTCTGTGTTCGTAGCCATGTTTTTCCAGGTTTATGTAGCCTTTCCAACAATCTGAAACTATCAGTGTACCAGGCTTAATCCACTTTTTTATCAATGCTAATAATGTTTCCTCTGTCCTATTTTCTACTGCCACTATAAAACACTTTCTTGAATCTTCCTCTATTCCGCCAAACACCCACTGTCCTTCTACCATGTGCCCTCTGTGATACTTCCTTTTTCCAATCTTACTTTCATCTATCTGAACTATCTTCCCTGGTCCGCCAAGTACCTCACTTTTCTCTGTTATTGTTACCTCACACACCTCACGGCAAAACATGTCCCAGTCAACTGCTGTATTTGGACTTAGTCCAAGTTCCTCTTTAATTTGRTTCTGTTTCATTCCTCTTGTCCACCAGTATATAAACTTTATTGTTTCTTCAATGGTTAGATTTGCCTTTTCAAACCAGCTTCCTTCTCGAACGCTCTTCTCTACTCKATGCTTCTTTCCRTTAATACTTTTCCTGCATTCCCATCTAAATCCATCGCTTCTATCAATACACGGTACCCAATTCATTTCATTTCCACAGTGTTCGCATAACTGTATAGAACAAATTAATCCTTCTTCCTTGAGCCACTTCAGAGTATATTCCTTGTCCCATAGGTATTCCTCCTTTAGCCTGTCGTACGTGAGTTTTGATGCATCTTTTCTTGTATAACTTCCTCTTGATTCTCCGCATTGTGTACCAGTAGTCCTTAAACATGACTCASAACATCCAACCTGAACTCCAATTTTTCGCTTGCGTTTAACAGTATACATTTTGACATCAAGAAAACAATCTCTATTTTGTAACTTCAAGAGCTTTAAAACACTCTTAAGTCCCAGCGCTTAAAACAACAACGCTTATTGAATAATATAGATCGCGGATCGTCTGGTCAATCAAGGATTGCCGCCACCTTTTAGAAAGTGTGCGCTACACTTTGTCCTATTGTCTTCGACTACTACATTTCTCACACCTATTGTTCTTTCGATATCTCTTTAATACATATCGTCACAACCGCCTTGCCAATCAATAGCAATGCTCTATTGTSTCTTTTCAAAACCCCCTTTCAATTCTATAGGCAATTCAACATACGTATTTCATCTAAGTAGATAATCCTTAGCCATCACTTTTACTGTGTACCTTCACCAGTCAACATGTCTTCTTCTAAATTATCAAAAATCACGCGTCAACATGAAAAAACTTGGAGCCAGCTTCACAAGCGACTAATTGAAATGTCATTTCCATTTCATGAACTGTTTGAGAATAGTGTCTGGGAATTGATATCTATAAGTCTATACATACAGGTATCCCATAAGATCATTTTTGACGCGTTGACGCGTTGACGCGTAGCCACTTCATATCAGAATTTCTCGTTCTTAAAAGATATCTATAAGTCTATACACACAGGTATGCCGAGAGATTTTTTTTGACGCGTAGCTGATATCAAATCATAGGGTGCTTTTTTTATGCGG